AGGAAGTTTCCTAGGACTTAATGAAGAAGGCAGTGGAGGCTCTTCCAGGCCAAAGGCACGACTATTCACCAACTATCTCAAAATAATTCAAAACAATTCAAGAGTAACCACTGGTCCACTCCTTGCTACCAGGCACAAGATAAATCTCTCTCATTGTTTAAAGATATAAGTACTAATTTCAGTAGTTAGGTAAAATAAAACATTGAGTCTCTCACATTGTTCAAAGATAAAATGGATCTTCCCCCTTTCCCTGGCTTCTCCAGCCAGAGCTCGCTGCGGCATGTGCCCATGCTGGGCAAAAAATTCTTCGGCAGGCTGTGTTTCTAAGAGCTGTCAGTTTCACTCAAGTTTGAAAAACAAGTATATTCATGACTGGGCTCTTGCAAGTTTGCAGCAGGGGGCCTGGTTGTGGTGGAGTTGGAAGTGAATCGCTATTGTGCAATTAACTTGGATTCTCTCAACCCCTTGAAACACAGGACAATTGTGTCGCTATCCATCGTCTACACAATTGGACAGGTAGTCCTTGCAGTAAGCTCAATTAATGACCTCACAGACGGCAACCGTGATGGGACCCCGGACAGCCTTCCTGTACATGTGTGAGTTGATGCCGTCCTTCTCTCCCCCTCCCATGCTTATTTTTAATCTTTTTTCCTTGAACTTCACTATAAGTATAAGGAGGCCTTTTCTTCCTCATCGGCGGTGTAGAGAAAGCCATTGAATGGATTAAGAGTTGGGTCGTCAGTGTGTCCCCATCCCAACAGTTGTCTGGGGTCATTGCTCTCTTGAAGGCTTGCTGTCACATGATGTGTGGTCAGTGCATGGGAGATTTGTGTTAATCTTGATCTTCTCTGGACGGATGTGACTCCCACAGGCCTTAATCCTTAATTGCACCAGGTTTCCTCAAGGCTCTGTACCTTTCGTTTTCTGTCTTGTACCATACTTGCGCTTATTTTTCAGTAATTCTGTCTCATAAGTATTTGTTCCAGCCCTATGTGCTGAGTCCTTGATGGAAACTGCTGTTGACAAATGCTCCTCTGTGAGATGAATCTCCCTTCACTGCAGACTGTCCTAGTAGACAAGTTGTGAAGATTTATTTTGTTTCCTGTTCTTGTGCTTCAGTTCCTTGATCTATGAGTAAACCATCTTATGAGTTGGGAAAATATCATTGAAATTCAAATTGGTATCTTCAATCCCTGCATTTCTGGTGCGTTAGTGAATCAGATTGCTGTCCAGGTTAGGTCCCTTGGTGCCCACAGGGAACCAAGTTGGTGGAGGCGAGTGGTCATTAGCACAGTCCAGCAGCTAGGACTTGCGGTGTCTGATTCCCAGCTCTTCCACAGAGTATCTTTATGACCCTGGGCAACTTATCTTCTCCATGCTTTAGTTTTCTAATCTATAATATCAGTTAAGAACATGGACTTTGGAGTCAGGCTGTGTGGGTTCAAATTCTGGCGGAGCTCCTTGCTAGTTGTGTGATCTTGAGCGAGTTTCTTAACCTCTGTGCCTGTTTCCTC